ATATTAATTGAGCATAGTGGCTTGGGTCAATTTCTGGGTTCTCTGTTCGGTTCCATTGATCTATAATTAATCCAATTTTGAATGTACAAATATAGTCACTGTGTGGAGTTTATGCTGTGCTTCAATTTTCATGCACTGATGGCACAACTTTTATCCCTATTCTAATGGATGTCAAAATTTCTCACCCAGACACTAATAAGTCTAGGGCTAGTTCCTAACTTGCTAACTACTGAAAGCCCCAATCACAATTAGTGAGTATGAAGCAGATTACTCACTGAATGCTGAATGACAATGTCAGACTTGAAATACGTTAGCCTAATTATCCCCCTTTGCAAACAGTGGTTACTAGCTGATTATTACACTTCAATTATAAAAAATTTCAAGCAAGTGAAGATGTTAGGTGAAATAAAGAATGGATGGCACAACTTTTATCCCTATTCTAATGGATGACAAAATTTCTCACCCAGACACTAAAAAGTCTAGGGCTAGTTCCTAACTTGCTAAGTACTGAAAGCCCAATCACAATTAGTGAGTATGAAGCAGATTTCTCATTGAATGCTGAATGACAATGTCAGACTTGAAATATCTTAGCCTAATTATCCCCCTTTGCAAACAGTGTTTACTAGCTGATTATTACACTTCAATTATACAAGATTTCAAGCAAGTGAAGATGTTAGGTGAAATAAAGAATGAGGACTTTAAATTTTAGTGAAAGGACAGGACAGTCCCCCACAGCAAAGAATTATCTAGTGCAAACTGTGCACAGTGCTCACAATGAGAAGCCCTGCCCTAACCCAAATCATGTGGCGCAGCACCTGGGCTTTTTTGTTTTTGTTTTTGTTTGTTTGTTTTTACCTCGGGTGTATGTTTTGCAATCTCTCGAATTAAAGTAGAAGCATTTTTCTTCACATATTCATCTTTGTCCTTCAGGCAGGTAAGTACAACTGGAAAAATCTCTGCTTCAACCACCATTTCGGCCAGATCCACAGAATGTTTTGCAATCTGACTGAGAGCTGAAAGGACCTGACGCTATTGAGCAAAAACCAAAATGAAACAAAGCATTACATAGAGTCCACTGCAGAGATCAGATATAATTTAAGCAGCTTAATACAAATTCCTTTATAAAAAGAAAAAAAAACTACATATGTAACATAACATAAGATTTCTGAGTCTTGAGACATTCACATCCTAGTCTTAAACCTAAATACTCAATTTCTTGAATTCCCTAATTTCCACATTAAATGTCATAGTTTTCTGTGGTCTATTTAAATCTCTATCACAGATGATCAAGAATATGACCTCTGGATAAATACTATTTCTTAATTACGTAATACTTAAACTATAATAAAGTACAAAAAAAAAATCAGGCAGCCCTGACCGGTTTGGCTCAGTGGATAGAGCGTCAGCCTGCAGACTGAAAAGTCCCAGGTTCGATTCCGGTCAAGGGCATGTACCTTGGTTGCGGGCACATTCCCAGTGGGGGGTGTGCAGGAGGCAGCTGATCGATGTTTCTCTCTCATCGATGTTTCTAACTCTCTATCCCTCTCTCTTCCTCCCTGTAAAAAATCAATAAAATATGTTAAAAAAATGATTTAAAAAAAGCAGGCAGAATGAACATCTTATGTTTGGCATGATGCCAATAATATTTCAAAGAACTTTCTATTGCTTAGTTAGCATTAACAATTTTAAAATATTAAAGATATAACTAACTATTAGCATATAAAAGTATAATTGGAGACTATTAACTGAAAACTAGATTTAGGAACCTATAAAAAAGATAAACATAAATATATGACAATTTTCATAATAAACAAATATAGTGGTGAGCTAGAAAACCTTTAGGTGCCTTCCCACTCTGAGATTCAATCATTTTGTGATTCCTTATTTTAGTGATTAATGTTAATACTGATGCTACTTCTACTTTTTAGCATTGCACAGATTTCCCCAGTCATGTCTTATTATGTAATCCTTACAGCATATTTTTCACATATGAAAAGACCAAATACATAACATAGTCATATCTGTTTTCAATGATAATTTATCAATTATTTTTGAAAATACATTAATCTGTACACATTTTCCATTTTCTTAGATTAACAGAAGTCTGTTTTTTAACTTATTTTTAAATACCTTCAATTTAGCATCCGGGTTCAGAATCATCTGAGCTAAGTGAGCAATAGCTCCTGCATCCACTACTGTCTGTGCTAACTCTGGCGAATGCTTTGAAATATCACTGAGGTCTGAAGCAGCAATCCTTTTCAAAGCAATTTCTGGCTCCTGGATACAAAGTACTAACAGAGGAACTGCTCCACATCCACCACAGCTTGTGACAGTTCTGTGGGTCCAAGAAAAGGAAGTGAGTATGGGTGGCTGACCCTTGTGCAAGCCATTCTTCTCCCTGACAGATACAGCAAAGAAAAGAAAGGGGAGGTAGTTCACTGTCTAGACATCTGTATTTGTTTCATAAACCGTGTGGACCAATCTGGAGCTGAAAAGAATACAGGTCAATAGATGGCCCTCCATTTACATGAACACGTTTGAGGTAGATTAGGCTAAAATGGCTTGTTTGTTTGTTTTTTAAGAGAGTAAGCAGATGCCAGCTGTTGAAGCTCTGACAATTCTGCACTTCTAGTAGGCAAGCATCTTATGCATGGTTTACAATAACAGAGAAAAATAGAAGTACCAAAAATTTACCAACCACACTAATTAGGCAGTATTTTGTACTATTTACATGAGTAAAGATTAACATGAATCTTGTGCTAATAATGTCGATTTTTAAAATCTCTTCATCTTATAGGATTTTAAAAAGATTTTTTAAAGCCCTGGCCAGTGTGAGTATCTACCCATGTACTGGAAGGTCACCAGTTCAATTCCAGTCAGGGCACATGCCCAGGTTTCAGGTTGGGTCCTCGGTTGGATCATGTTTCTCTTTCTCCCTTTCCCTTCCTCTCTCTCTAAAAAAATCCCAAGATTAAAAAACAAACAAACTTTATACAAAATAAAAAGGTGCATTTTTATTGTACATATAAAAATACTTTCAAAACATAGTCTACAACTAAACATACTCTAAAAATATAAATGTTAATATTTAGATGAGGAATAAATTTACCATAACCATTTTACTTCTCAGAAATAAACATCTTTTGAATATACACATTGATTTATTTGTGTGTCCAAGAATAACAGCTATAAAAATAACACTTTTTTTTAAATCCTCACTGGAGGATATGTTTCTATTGATTTGAGAGAGACACATCGATCGGTTGCCTTCTGTAGGTGCCCTAACTGGGGATGGAATTCGAACCGTAGGTATGCTCTCTGACTAGGAATCGAACCCCAACCTTTTGGTGTAGGAGGTGACACTCCAACCAACTCAGCCACCCTATCTACAATTTTGCGAATATAGTTTTTCATTCTGTGAAATTCTTTCCTTAGGATGAATTCCCAAAGCAGGCTTTTTAGAGTAACCATAAACTCTTTTATGACTTAGATTAGTTTCACCAAACAACTTTCCACATGTTGACACAATTTGTAGGGCATACACATTATCAAGTCCTCTCTAACCTTCAATATTAATACCAATATCTTTCATTTATGAAGCATTGACCATGTATTTTCATCCTCACAACAAATCTTGAATAACTCTGAAGTAGTTACTCTCTTTTAGCACATGAGGAAATAAAGGTTCAGAAAGTTAAAAGCCATATCCAATGTCACATAGCAACTAAGTGAGAGAACTTGGACTCAAACGCAGGTCCTAATGCCACAGTGCTCTTAATCACTTGCCTATAGTTCTGCTTTCCTCTTTCCCCGCCAAGTAATAACAGGTGGGAAAAGACATTTGCACCAATGTTTTAATATGCAGTTTTTGATAACTAGCAAAGTGATCACTTTTACATGTTAGTTAAACTGCATATTCTTGTGTTATTTATTTATGTTATTTAGCAACTTCTATAAAGTGGTAGGAGCAATTTGGTCCCTGCATATTTTTTACTATTTAGGTGTGTCAGCACAGCCTTCACACGAGAGGTCCAGGCACGGAGCTGTCAGTTTATAAGAGAAGGTGATCCTTCTCTTTCTCCTCCTTCCTGCCCAGTGTGGGCTGAATACAATCATGTTCTAGAAAGTTAAGTCCATATCTTTTCAACATTAAATAAAGTGGTAGGAGCAATTTGGTCCCTGCATATTTTTTACTATTTAGGTGTGTCAGCACAGCCTTCACACGAGAGGTCCAGGCACGGAGCTGTCAGTTTATAAGAGAAGGTGATCCTTCTCTTTCTCCTCCTTCCTGCCCAGTGTGGGCTGAATACAATCATGTTCTAGAAAGTTAAGTCCATATCTTTTCAACATTACTCACTCATATGATATGGCCCTGACTGATTTGGAATACCCTGGGTTAGGAGGAAGAGTGAAGACTCAACGTACCCTGAGGGGTGACAACCTAAAATAATTCTTAACTGAACCAATTTATCAAGGTCTTCGAGAATGAATATCTCATTTGTCCCATTTCCCACCCCATCCCCTTTCTGTTTCTGTCTTCTAACTAAGATAAGACTGGAATGTATTGATTTTTTGTGTGAATTTGTAATCCCAATAACTTGGGCATCATTCAAAGCTTATCTCCCATAATGTATAGAATTATCATTAAAACCTCACTTATGCTTTACTAAGCAAAACCAGATTTACCTAGTAAATATATACTTAAATAGCCCCACTTTAAAATATGCCCCATTACCTGCATTATGTCTTGCAATATATCCAAGAGCCCAGGCTGCAGATTCTTTGACTCCAGGGTCAAAATCTTCCAAGCATATCACCAGTGTATCCAGGGCTCCACAATCAACGATGGCCTGAGCTAGCTGAGGAGAGTGCTTAGCAACTGCTCGCAACACAAAGGCAGCCGCTTTCTTGTAGAAACGCTACAAGGATGAAATGGATAAAGCGCAAAGTGAATTGAGCACTTACATAATGAAAGTTTAAAAAGACCAAAACCAACGTAATAATAACATTAATATAATAAAGATCAAAAGCTCTTAAATACTGAAGAAAAACATCCTGCAGCATCATTTTAACTTTTTGATGTTCCCCATTGCTTCCGTTCAGTATCTAAACAAAAACAATGTAAGTCATATTACATTTAAAATGTTTTATTCTAAAACATAATTTTATAAAATATTTTACTTCCTGCAAATTTTATTTCCTACAAATTCATAAAATACTGAGATTTTAATGTATCTGCATTACACTGAAGGTATTTGTTTGACGCATGAGAACTCTTGGGTTGTTAGCATGTAAAACTAAACTGTCAATTGGCAAATTCGTTTCCTTTACTTGCCCCGAGTCTCTAAGGCTGGTAGGCCTTTCATAACCTCAAATCATCTTTCAGGTGTCCTAATTTTAAAGGCAAAACATTCATGACATTTTAACACCTTTTCTGGCAGCCCTGGCCAGTATGGCTTAGTTGGTTGGGTGTTGTCAGGTGCACCGAAAGGTTGCTGTTCGATTCCCAGTCGGTTGTGGGCTTGGTCCCCAGTAGGGGGCGTACACGAGGCAGCCAATCAATGTTTCACTGTCACATTGATGTTTCTTTTGCGTTCTCCGTTCCCCCTCTCTAAAATATTTGTATATATATTTAAAAAAAAAACTTTTCCTGGAAAATAATCTAGTCAAACAATGGGATATGTTATTTATCCCTTTTTAGAAATGCTTTTTAAAAAAGATAAATACAAATGACAATATTATGTGAATGCTTCATATTTACAATATTTTCTACATATAAACTTTATAAGGTTAAGAAATAAAACTGAAACTTGATTTTCTTTATATAGCTAAGAAAATTAAATGCTTAGGAAGTATTTAGCTGTAACACTCACTGAGGTTTTATGGTTCACATAATGACACAGCAATGGTCTCCTAACTCTTCCTTTTAACAAAACCAAGTTAACCCCATATTTTAGATTCTGTTTCTGTTTCTTTACAGTGACTACTAAAAAGTGACTGGGTGTCATAGCACCTGTTTTGAAAGCATTCCATTTACTTAGGCTAAAATATTAAGATGCAAAAAATTTGTAAGAGAGAAAATATACCAAGTATATTTTTAATATTATAGCTCAAAACCTGGTATATATTAATGATATAAGCCATTTGCTAGCCCTGGCCGGTGTGCTAAGTGGTTAGAGCTCTGGAGCAGGGGAGAGTAGCAGGCTCAATTCTGGTCAGGGGCATGTACCTGGGATGTAGGTTCAATCTCCGGTCCTGATCTGGGTACGTGTGGGAGGCAACCAATTGATGTCTCTTTCTCACATTGATGTTAGTCTCTCCCTCCTTTCTCTCTCCCTCTCCCACTCCTCCCTCCCTCTCTCTCCCACTCGTCCCTCCCTTCCACTGAGAATCAATGGAAAAAATATTCTCGGGTAAGGATTAACAAAACAAAACAAAAAAAGAAATATGCTACTTAGTAATGATGCTTTAATTTCATGTTTTTCTTTAGTTTCTTAAATGTAACATATGTAGGTATTTAAGTATTTGTTGTAAAGTCTAATTTTATGTCAGTAACCAAATAGTTACTAATTTATTATAAAAATTAGACTAGAGTTTTAAAGTAGCTTTCTACAGATTGTTTTATAATTGTGTAAAAATAATGGTGATACATTACCTTAAGCTATTTTAACTTTTTATGTTGTGGAATTTTCAAATTCATAGACAATTCCTTGGGTTTTAATAGTCACTACTAACTACAGAGCCTTAAAAGGCCTGTCATGCTTGCATACTTGGTAAGAAGCTTTATCAAACCTTCCATTAAATACATTCTCCTTCTTTTTGGATGCTTATCTCCCCTCGCTTTAAAGCAATTTCCGACAGCTGCCATTAACCAAATTTCACTTGTATATAAAGATTTCTGTAAACAACTTTTTGTTTGCCTAAGGCTTTATATACCTAAGACTGATCCTATAACTTTAACACTCCCACACACAGAAATACTGCTTGATGTATAATTCCATTAAGTTTTAAAATCTCTTTCTCTTTATATTAACAATTATGGTAAAAAACCTCAAGTAGAATGCTCTAACGATATTATGTTCAGTTCAAATAATTGAATGTAATGTGCATTAACATCTTAATAATTCTAATGCCTACAAGCTTGCAGATGTACCCAAAATATCAAATTTTTAAAGTAAAAAACATAGCTTGTTTTTAAAAAATTCTTACATTCTGTTCTGCCAATGAATAAACAAGCTGTGGGAGAATGTCGCCCTTGACAACTGCTTCCGCTAGGTCGTCATTATAATTAGCCAGCCTCCCGAGAGCCAGAGCAGCAGTCTGCTGAATTGTTGGGACCACGTCCAGAAGAAGAGGCCTCAGCAAAGACATTACACCTGCGTGAAATGATGAAAGAACACCAATCAGCAAAACTTAAATTAAAAAGCAAACATACAATTTGCAATTTCGTATTTGCAAATATGAAAACTAAGGGGGAAAAAGCAAAAACAATTAGCCACTAAAAACTAACGGGATGTTTAAAAGCATATAATTGGCCAAGACACAGAATATAACCTTTAATTGTCAAAGCAGCAGCATAGTGTGGAAATAAGAATGACTGTGGGCTAGAGAGGATTTTAAATACCTGATTGGTAAATACTAGCTGTGACCTGGCCTGACAGGCTGTCATGAGGAAGGAAAAGAAAGGTTGTGAAGCACATAGCATAGGCTGATTCGCCATCCGCCTTACATCCCTTCCCCTCATCTTTACAAATCCTATCTTTCAGGGCTCAGTTCAGATTATTTCCTCTCAATGAAGTCTTTCATTTGTGTAGTGTCTTTTTTCCCCCCACTCAGGTTCCAAATGAACTTAGAGTTTATTACAGAAATTTTATCAGGGTCTACCTCAGGGCCAGGGGAGCAGGAGGGCCATTAGGCTAGGACCTCACATTCATGAATCATATTTCTGACATTATCTCCAAAAAATAAAATCCTTAATATAAGAAAGTATATCGTATTATCAGGTCTCACAATATTCATTTTAGGATTGAATACAGAGAAGGCGTATCACCCTCATAATAATAATAAAAGTAGCTTATATGTATGGAGCACTTGTATGCATGCATTGTTCTAAAGAGTTGTTTTCCATATTAATTCACTGACCTCTCATAACAAACCTAGGATGTAGGCCTTATTACTATGTCTATTTTACAGATGAGGACACTTAGGCTGAGAAAGGTTTAAAAAATTGTCACACAACTAATAAGTGGTGGAGCAAGGTTTCTTTATTTATAATTGCTAAACAAATAATATGTGTTCAAATTGACGAGGTAGGGGAAGGGAGACAAATAATAATTGCATTTTGGTCTTTTCATTGGATATTACAACTCTTTATATTAACTTTGCCTTACTAAAAAATACGTAAAATAGTCAACGGCTATTTGTGCTTTATGATGGTGTGTTAGTCTAAAGTTATGAGAAAGGTAAAGATGGAGTTCAAACTGGAACAAAGCGCCCCTTGACTTTCTAAACTTTATGTAATTTACAGCAGGTTATTCAACTGATGTTATTGCATCTTTTCCATAAAAACATATTCCAGTGATCTATAAAAGCATATGTTACCAGTATTCTTTAAAAATATTTTTATTGATTTCAGAGAGGAAGGCAGAGGGAGAGAAAGATAGAAATATCAATGATAAGAGAGAATCATAGATTGGTTGCCTCCTGCATGCCCCACTGGGGATTGAGCCTGCAACCCGGAGTAGGACCGTGATCTCCTGGTTCATAGGTCAATGCTCAAGCACTGAGACACACCTGCCGGGACACCAATATTCTTTTTTAATGTTACATCCAGAAACATTTGAAATAGAATAAAAGGAAAACATTTACTGGTACAATAACATTTAAGATTAGACTAAAGTAAGATAAATAGTATTACCAAATAACATAAACAGAGAGTAATGGTGCTTATTTCAGAGACATTTAATGATGTGACCTGTGGCTTTCATAGTCTCCCACTTCATTTAGTGAGCATTTAATGCCTAAGTTGCTTGGTTAGACCATCTTATCCAAGGCCACGGTTGCAAGTCTAAAACCTGCACAGGCGGGTTAAGTTTGCAGGCACAAAGCACTCCTGCTCATGCCTAGGTCATAGCTCCTGTTAAACAATTCAACATGCCTATGCTCACAAGTGTTACTTACATTATTATCTATACTTTTTTCTTAGAGATAATTTCTGAAATATCTCTCAACAAAAAGCTTAAAGCACAGAAAAAGGTATTAGAATTATTACCAAGTGTTCATATGGGTTCTTCCTAGAAAGTTGGGTTTAAAACAATTTGTCAATCTCTTCTTTGTATTTTGCTCTATTCCTTCATTTTTTCCTTAATTGTGGTAAAATACACATAACATAAAAATCGCCACTTAAGCCAATTTTAGTGTACAATTCAGTGGTACTAAGTACATTTCCAATGATGTGTAATCATCACCACCATCTGGAAGCTGTTAAACTGTTTTCTACAGAAGCTGCACCATTTCACATTCCCACCAGCAAAGTGCAAAGGTTCCGATTTCTCCGCATCCTCACCACCACTTCTTTTCCCTGTTGTTTGAACTTAACAGGCATCCAATAGGTGTGAAGTGGTGTGTCACTGTGGTTTTGACTTACATTTCCCCGGCACTAATGATGGTGAATGTCTTTTCAGGTGCTTGTTTACATCACCTTTGTTGAAATGTCTCTTAAGTCCTTTGCCCACTTTGTTGAATATAACTTGACATTGTTGATAATAAATATGTACCATTTAAAAAACAAAAGCTAAATGTGTTAGCATATATTTAAAGTTTCATACTAAATACATTAATAAGGCAAAAAAATACAAAGTATAAGTATTCTTAGAAAACAATGAAAAGAACCACAATTAAAAAAATAAAAGAATCATAATTGTGGTTCATGTTATTTTTTTCCCCTGAATCTGTTATTTCCTTTTTTTCTCACTTGATAAATTTATGTGGAGGAAGTCACTTATTGTCTTTTGAAATATAATCAGAAAATCAATCCAACCTAGATAGTTTAAATTAAATTCTTAAGAACTTTGAACTTTTATGTTAAAAATTTGATAAATTCATCTACCCAGGTTTATAGTACTTAACTTGATTATGTGTTTATTATAATATTTAGCTAATTTCCAAAAGTCTCCAATTCTGGAAAATCTCTGTTTGCAATTTTAGCAGTAAAATGTTTTACCTCCCCAAAGGTATTTCACTTGCCCATATAATCAAAGGAACTTTTTACTTTATATATTTTCTCCTCCATTTTTTCCACAGCATTTAGCCCAGGGAAAATGTCAATAAAATAACACACAATTCCTTTCCTTCTATTCCTGTATTCAATATCCAGGTTAGGCTTCTGCATGGAAACTTCTGCTTTATCACACTTTCCCTATATTCCTTAGTCCAGACAGTAGCACAATAAGGATTTTGAAAAATTTTAAATCTCTGAACCTATAAAAGTAATAGCTAAAGCTTCCATTTAAAATATCTTTATTTTGGGGGATGGGGCAGGTAGAAGTGTGTAAACGGGGGATAAATGGTGATGGAAGGAGATTAGACTTTGGGTGGTGAACATACAATACAATATACAGATAATGTATTATAGAATTGTACACTTGAAACCTATATAATTTTATTAACCAATGTCACCCAAATAAATTCAATAAAAATGAATAAATGTCTTTGTTTAAATAAGATCATTCTTATTAAACAAAATACTGCCCCAAATTTCTAATCCTTAAATTTTCCTTAGTGCTTTATAATCATTAGCCTCCAGGGACCTGGTTTTTTATTTTATCTCTTACACAGATTAAGCATGGAGACTTTGTTATAATTATAGTTTTGTCCTAAAAATACAGATAATGATGCAAGAGACAGGGGTAGAGGTGGGGGTGGGAGGGGAGGAAGTTTGAGAGAAGGGGAGGAGAGGAGAGAGGAAAAGAAGTAAATATGACATACAAATAAATTTTTCCTTACCTGCTTGTCCATTAGGAATCCATAGTAATTGATCCTTGGTGAGTGAATGCATGAAAATTTAGAGTCCATCAATTACAGCAGTCTGAATAGTTGCTATAATATCTGATACACAAGGTCTCTAGGGAGCAGCTAATGACCTCATTGGGAGTCTACACTGAAGGAGCCAACATGATCTATCTAATACCTAATATTAACAATAATTCATATATTATACTCTAATATTTATAATAAAGCAATTTAGTATACTCTATACTAAACTGATAAAACAGTGTGAAACTATTTTTGAAATTTAACTTATAGGATAAATCTTTACAATCCTCCCCCTCCCCCAACTTTATAGCTTTGAGCTCCTTTTCTGTTTTTCTTGTTCTAGTGCCATGCTGGAGACATTGCTGCTAATACCTACATTGCAATCCAGTTATGCCCCAAACAGAAACAACCTTGCTGATCCTGCCCACAATCATTTACTCAAAAAACAGATCAGGGTTTACCAAGTGGCAAGGAATAGAACTACACACGAGTTAAGGCAGCTTCTACTCTCAAGAGACTAATAATCAAGTTGAGATTATAAAATAGCCTCAAAATAATCACAGCTTTCCTTTAATTCCCTTCAGTGCAACACAGGCCTAATTACTTTGATTGTGCATGCCTACTACATATATAAATTAGGAAGGAAATGTCAAACATTTCCAAAGACAAAAAAATTACCCATTCATTCTCATATTACATATAATTTATATACGTATAACCTCAATCTTCTGTTTATAAAGATATTTAACATCTCCACTTTGTTTATTTAAAAACAAGTGTCTATAAACGGCCTTCGGGCCATTTAAGTCATAGTAAAGATTTCTAGTTGCTTCTTATCTTTTTGTTTTTCAATTTTATTTATTTTTATTGTGGTAAAATATACATAACAAAATTTATTATTTTAACCATTTTTAGATGTACAATTCAGTGGCATTAAGTAGAGTCACTATGTTGTGTAACCATCACCCACTATCATTTCCAGAATTTTCTCATCATTGCTAACAGATACTCTATACAAATTAAACACCAACTCCCCATTTCTCCATACCCCCAGTCCCTGGTAATCTCTATTCTACTTTCCATCTCTTAGAATTTTTCTACTGTAGATATCTCATATAAATGGAATCATATACTGTTTGTCCTTTTGTTTCCTGGCTTATTTCATACTTAGCATGTTTTCAAGCTTCATCTATTGTAGCATGTATCAGAATCTCATTACCTTTGTAAGATGAATAATATTCTATTGTATGTATAAACAACATATTGTTTGTCCACTCATCTGTTGATGGACATTTAAGTTGTTTCCACCTTTAGGTTATTGTAAATAATGCTTCTATAGCAT